CCGCGTTGGTCAACCGCTTCGTTTGGGCGATCTTTCCAAGGTAGATCGGGTAATATGCGCACTCCGCTCGGTGAGTTGCGAAGACGAACTGCTGAGAGCAGGACAGCCTCTGTCTCATCTGCTGGGTCTAGTGTTACTCGAAGATTTCGAGGTTCACCAGAGTGCACTGAGGTCGAGTGACGCGCTACGCGTTGCAGCATTGCAGGCTCAACCCGAATAACAATCGCATCGCAGATGGAACTCCACTGGTTGTGATCGTCTTGCAACTTGCCTTTTATTGTGCCAGATTTGGACTCGGGAACATCGGTGCACAAGACAGTTAACGCAACAAGGTTTTGTCCAGCGGGTGTTGGCTTTATAGTTCTTGCCGGCAATTTGGGTTGTTTAGCAGGCACCACTGAAGTTGACGGTGAAAGCTGCTTGGCGCCACGCATGCTTGGCACAGAACATGGACCTATGTGTGTCGCTCCCAGTGTGTTTGTCGAGGCAATTGATGTGTACGTTACCTGCTTGTTACCTGTACCGGATTGCTTTCGGCTCTGAGCTGTCGTTGTCATGGCTGAATCTCCAAGTGAAGCGTCTATAATTGGAGAAGTGGAAGCAGGCATGTTTGAGGCTTGTCCACTTATGGGAGTGAGGTGACCCAGTGGATTTAGAGACACAGACCTTCAGTGCGGTTGGAGCGTTTAGCTCTCTTCTTCGGCTTAGATTCGGAGCTTACTTTGTCTGGGTGAGGTATTATCGTGGCCACAAGTACCTCCGTGGGATCGATCTTAGTATTTACAAATTGCGCGATTAAGTCAATCATCCTATCGCACTTTTTCATGAGCAAACGTAAATAGTTGACAACTGGAATGACTTGACATGTGGGACAAAACCAAATTGTGTCAGCAACTGTGCTTGTTGTCTCCCTTCTTGGACGGATTTGCCTACACATTGCGGACAGTACGATCCAATGCAACGAGAACAGGTTACACTGACCTGAAGGACTTTACTGCAATTGTCTGCGTAACATAGGCGAAGTTGAACCATTGGAATGCTAGTCGTCCTCTTATTGTTTACAGCAAGACCTATCTAAGCGCTCACCTTGATGAGCGTTCTTTGCGCCAGGGGTGACGCACAAACAGGCCAGAACACGCGCACAAATTGAGAGTTGTTCAGCCGCACCAAGGTCAGGCGGTAAAGGCAGATGGAGGTCGTAACGCGCAGACTGTCGGGTTCAGCGATCAATCAACTCGCAGTTGAACACACACACCCACACAAAGCGGCAGCGCGTGTTAATCGGCCTGCCTTAAGCTACGATGCAGGTAGAGCGCTGACAAGCCTCCCGAGAGCTGCTCAGTTGATGAGCGGAGCAAAAAGGCTGTAACTTTGTTATGCTGCAACTTGCAGGGATGGTTGCCGCGTAGTTTGGGAGCCCTCAGCTTCTTCTTCCGAATGAGACCAACATCTTTTCCGAAAAACCGGTTTGATGTAGTTACACAAGTGGAACTCGGCAATGAATGTGTCGAAAACTGGGAACTGGAGCAAGAGTATAATCCGCATAGGTTAGATCCAAGAGTTAGGATGCACTGAGTAGAGCTCATCGAACTGGTTCGAACGAGCGCAGGCACAATATTGTGTGGGGAGGATTAGAGTGGCCACAGAAGGCAAAGCGAGAGCCGAGTTAATGTGCGGCCGCACGGTGTCTGCTACAGTCCTCGTTCTAGCTTGAGTAACAGTTTCACAACAGTTTCCGCGCTGAATTCGATGTCCTCAAGACAGTTGAGATCCGAAGCATCGCAACTGTTGAGCAGCGGGTCCTCCAGTACGTAAACGGATGAGTAATTCCGGGCCAGGAGATTTGTTTTCTCGCCATCTTCGTATAGAACGGAATCTGTTGTACTGGATGACAAAGCGGTTATGCCACAGGAAACTTTAATCCTTTTGTTAATATAAGCGAAGAGCATTTAAGTCTGGACACAGACATTTCTGCCATACTTTGCTCATATTGTTGCCTCTTCTCACGCTATTTCGTAGTATATCAGTTCCTGAGTCTGGTAGTTTGAATAGTCAGACGCCACTTTAGTAGGTTTGAGACGGTTCCATAGTTTCTTTCGCTCATTCATCAGAAGCCTTATTTCCCGAGCAATCCAAGGAGGAGCTCTCGTGTGGGGCTTTTCCCTTGAGTTTGGGACCACTTGTTCAATGAGCTGGTTGATTTTGGAGCGCATAAGTGTCCAGGCGCTATCGATGTCAAAGTTTGTGGGATATTCCAGTCCAACATGCTAGCCGCCTCTCTTAGGCAGGTATGATTAGTACGCCAGAAGTTTCGGTGGTAAACTCTTTGGTCTTGACTGACAAATCGTCGCGTCCACGTAAAGAGGATATTGCAGTGATCACTACGAGCCATCGGTGGGAGAGTGACCAATCCAGAAATGTCCGAAGGCACAGGTGAGATCATCAAATCAAGTATGGGGGTGTTTGGCCTTGGAATATTATGGTGAGTGTGGAGACGTGCTGAGATATTTTGGCATCAAGGACTGCTCCTAAAAGACTAGCATCAAACGACTCTGCGGAGAGTCCGCAGTGGAAAGATCCCACACACTACTAGGCACACTGACGTCACCCAATATTAGACAGTCCCTGTCAAATCCATAGGTTTTGACTGAATACAAAACCCTGATGCCGTTACCCGATGGGGCCTTGTATACCACCCCGATGGTAAGGGGTTTGCATCCGTCGTGGATCCGACACCAGAGCATTTCTATACCGTCGTCAGTAATAGTTGTAATGGTATGCACCTTGAGTTCAGATCTCCAGTACAATATTACACCGTTCCCGGTTCTCGCCCTATTGCGATCCGCCTGTGAGAGCTGATATCCTGAGATATGTATCTCTCCAATCGGTATATCCGAGAATAGCCATGTCTTTGTAAAAGCAAGCAAGTCTGGGCAGAGCTCCGAGGTGGTACAGAGGATTTCATCCAGTTTGTTCCTGATGCTCCGGATGTTGGCAGACATCACCCGCAGTCCAAGTGTTGTCCGCGCAAGACTAGGATTGGTCTCTAGCGAGCTCTCTGAGTTCTCTTTACCACGCGAAACTCCACGATGTGCAGATTGGTCTCACCGTTAGCTCACTGGGCTCTCAATTCATCAGCGGCCATTTTCATTCTGACACGGTCCTCTGGACAAAGGTCTCTCAAGACAATGAAACTTTGTCCCTTGGGGAGTGAGGTCCGCTTAAGAATGCGGCAACATTCAGCTTCATCTTGGTAGACTATTTTAGAGGTGCCGTCCTATTTTCACCGAGTCAAAAGGCGGAGATAACGTTGATCCCAGCTTCTCCACCATCGAAAAGTAGAGAGACCATACGTTCTGAGAAAACTTTGTCGTCTAATATTTTCTCTGCTGGCATTGTCTTGTCTGATTCCGGAGCGTTGACGAGGACATCGTTCACGAGCAGGGGGCTGCTTCTCTGTGGAACAGCCAGCTTGTTGGTTTGCGGGGTTGTCATGATCAGGTTCTGCAGCTCGCGCATCCTGTCCAGGACGTGTTTCAGCTGAGGGAGTGAAGAGTCCTTCTGAGTCAGACTTTGTATCCTCCATTATTTTATTCTTGCGGGCGACTATACTTGAGGTGGCTGTCGCTGATGTCACACTCTGTTTTACTACGGAGGCATACGTCTTCATCGCGGATATTTCTGCAGCGTTTAATACTCGCCACAGCCGCATAGATTCTCGTCTTTATTTTCGGCTTAGTCCCATCCAGTTGGTCTTTGCAAACACTACCTTGCGTTAATAGTGTGCTCTCTGGGGAAGAGGAGGAGATTCGGCTTCGATTTCGTGCTGGATTGCCAGGCCCGAAGGGCAACGGTTTTCCTGTCAGCCCAGTGGAAGTAGCACGGCTTCTTTTCCTTTGGGGTGTAGATTAACCAGAGTCAGGCAGGCACACACATAAAACAGGTGTTTTGTAGTTAGAGTTAGGCAGAGGTTGTGTAGCAGTAGGCACGCTGAAGTGGCGCAGGCTCGTCAGAATCTTCTTGTCGCTAATCACTGCTAAACACGGCTCACAGTGAAAGCTTATGCTTTTGGAGGGATTGTCCTGAAGACATTGGCAGAGATCATGATCAATGTTACAGCACCCTATGTGCGTCCACTGAATGGGTGACACCTTTCCCACAGTCCACACATTTGGATATCAGTTTCCGAGAGAAAAATTTCACAACCATCAAATTGCCTCAAACACTTCTTCATGATATGTTTACCCAAAAGGCTCGAAAGTATAGCACGCCAGAAAGTGGAGTTACCGCGTAGTACTCACAGGGCTTAGTAGGTGTGTAGTCTCTGATCACCGGTATCTGTATAGTGTTCATCTAGTCTGGTAGGAACAACAACAACAACAACGGCATATCAACCATTTGAACTGCTGCTGCGTTGTCGTAAAACCACAATGATTAGAGGGGAATCCTCTGCTAGGAACACTAAGTGAGTAATGTAGAACTCGTCCGGTTGGCTTTCGGTAACAGACCCCGGGGTGTCGTGCTGGACATTCAGTTAAGCTCGGAGAGCCAGGTCGTGTTCGACGTATGCCCGGCGACCGTCTACCCTTTGTGAGTTGTTTACCAGACGTGATGCCAGGTTGGATGAATTGCAAGGCGCCCTCTCGAAAATAGGTCACAAAATATGGATAAAGTGGCCAAACAGCCATCCTGTGTTCCCTTCTTGATGAAGGCTCAGGGATGGACCGAATCAATGGTCGATGAGCCGACCTAATGGTTCCGCCTTAATTGGTTGTCTCTGTTGAAGCTAGATTCTGTTTTCGCTCTCCTTGCAACACTCAGTTTGGTTGCATACTATCATCGTTACCATGATAATGCAAGCAACCGAATCCAATACACATTGTTGCCTGATTCACAGTCGAGTAACAGAACGCTACTAACCTATGGACTTATAAGTTTTCTGAATGAACGCGAGGAGCACAAACATGTCACGGGACAGAGTTTACTGAAAATTAGCTCACCGAATCGCCAGGGTGGTCTGGTTGTGTAGTAATGTCGAAGAGCCTTTTTCGACCCTAGCGCATAGGGTGGGTTCCCGGTATCCCGAGCGGCACACAAAGACGGCCATGTAAACGGGAGAGTAGATGTCGTATCGGGAGAATATTTTTCATCCGAACCTCTTTCATATTCGCTCTGTATCGCGCTCCACATCTGTGAATTCTGAGTAAGAGTTTCGGAAATATGATGCGAAGCGAGGTCACCGGCGTAATCCCACTTGAGAGGATCTTCGTTGTCGAAAGCTGCATTTACTTCCTGTTCAATTGGGTCAGCTAGAAGCTAAGTGAAGAAGATGGAGAACGCGTGGTCAACTAAGGGTAGAAAAGTCCCATCTCAGCGGATCAGACGCATCAATAATAGAAGATAAATAGTACAAAAAAGAAAAACTTAATGTATATGAAGGCTAGCGAAGAACGAATTTGTACTGCAAACGAAGGACTGCATTTGTCTGCCTACAGATTTTTCTCTCTGCATGTTTTGTAGCCCTGGCTTAATGGCATCGCATTACTATCGTGCACTGAGTTCCAGTACGGCACAACCGAAAACAAATTGATTCCACGAGGAGCGATGCTTCAATATGCAGTAGGATAAATTAAGCATCATCGACCTCCTTGGCTTCCTAACTTTATCCTTTCGCTTACTCCGGACAGATTGAGAAACTTGATCTCACGAGATGACAGACGCAGGAGAGCAGATTTTAGGGGAGATAGAGAACACAGGAGAACACTGCGGTTACTACAGTCGAGGGATGAGTTGGCCGCATCCGTCTCTACACACAATTACGTGTCATTTCATGTAACAACTGCATTTTCCTGAGTTTTCTGTTTAACCGTTTTCCTTGACTTCCGCTGCCATGATGTTGATAGTGGCTGCGCAAAGACGAGGAGGAATCCCAGTGTGTGATGAGATAAACAGGCAAAGGTTCCCACGCAGCGCTCCGGTGTCTAAGACATCGACAACTCCCACACTCGGAATAGGAATAGTCAAGTAGGTTATTAACACGCAAGAACAGAATCACCACCAGTTGCTTGGAGATAACGTTGTAAAAACGTGTGGAGAATCCATAGCCGAACAGGGACATCGTAACGGTGCAGAAATTTACGTTGGAGAGGGAACTCGAGCCTACGGGGCAGAATAAAAATGAACGTTCCTTTCTGAAAGCAAATAACGCTACACAAACTAAGTAATGTATGAAAAATATTATTAGCAAAGCAAACATCCTCATTCATATCTTTCCCCTTTACTTAAATATTTACCATTTTATTCTCTTCACACCATTTCCACACTTACACAAACACCTAGAACATTAAAACCCTCCCTATGTACCCACGATCAAACAATTATATATTTCTAATAATCAAACCTTTTTCATCCCCAAAAACTCCCTCAACCCCACACCTATCCCCACCCCCCCTCACCACTCTCCCTTAAAACTCCTAACCCTCCCAAAATTCACCTATCAAACAATACTCCCAACCCCCCACCCCCTCCCACCCACCCACACCATACATCCACACCCATCCTTAAACCTTCTTAAAATAACCCCCCCCCCCACAATTACTACCTCCCTCCATTCACCCCCCATCTCCACTATCTCCTACCTTCCCCACCACCACCCCAATCTACCCATCATCCCCCTACTCAATACTGATCGGACCAAACCACTCCACCCCAGTGCGAGCCCTGACCGTGAATTTACTATCTATACCAAACCCTACGTTCCCCAACACCACCCTCCCAACCCTAGTTCCCCATCCAGGACCAACACAAACCCCTATCCAAGCCCTACCATCAATCCATTACACCATCATCACCCATAATACATTTACATACGCATGCTGACCACATACAATTACCACCACCCCCACTGTATTACACTTCCGCTTTCCAACCCCCCAAAATATCATTTTTGCTGTAATTTAAATATAACAATACCATTATCAATTACCTTCCAGTTAAAAACAACAAGACTCCCGTCACGCCCAGTGATATCCATCCGCAGACCGATAGAGAATCGCTATTAGCACTTGTAAAGCGTTACCTTCAGGTTGAATGGCCCCAAAACCTGCCTACAGAACTCAAGCCGCTACAGGATGTATGAACTCAAACTCAATAACGGATGTTTGCTGCATGCCTTTAAAAGATTGTGATCAACCAACCTGGAAGAATTTCATGATGTGCACCCAGGAATTGCTAAAAGGAAGCCACCTGCCGGTTTCTATTTATGGTGGTCCGAATGGGATGGTGCTAATGCGGCAAAAATTGGGTGTTGCATGCACTGCCAAAAATCGCGAAATACTGCCCCGGGTATGATGCAGCCTTGGAAATAGCCAGAAAATCCCTGGAAATGGGTTCACATAGACTTTTCCGATCAATCCGAAAGTCTGACACACCCGCTAGTCGCTGACGCTTGTTCTAAATGTGTTGATTCCTAAAATCTGGTCTCAGTGACATTAGCTAGCACAATAATCAAACTGCGTACTACAGTCGTTATCTTTGGACGCCCCGAAACACTAGTGTCGGACAACGAATCGGCGTTTACTAGCACCCAACTTTCCACCTTCCTCACTGCAAATGGAATTAGACGTATAGTTACTCCGCCTTATGATTCGTCTTCAAAATGTCTAACTGAAAGTGCCGTGCAAACAGTGGAAAGTATGTCGCTTAAACAAATGTGTGTGCCACTACGTGTGCGTCTGGGTGCTGCCTTTGCTTGCTTACCGACATACGGTGAACGATACTACCGGAAGAAGACCTACAGGTTCGGCTGTTAGTTTGGTATGCGGTTATACCTATTGCACGGTGCTCTTAGATCTAAGGTACTCCACAAAAAAGAACGAGCGAAAGAACACTGATTCTCGCAGTAGAGATAGCCGCAACAGTCAGATGCAATCTACGTACCGTTACTTACCGAATCCGGATGGCAGTCAGCTGTACATAAGCCAGCTAATGCGGCCAAGGTCGTCGAATTCCGAGTGCCTGCGAACCAAACCCCACACCTCGAAGGTTGTGCGACATTCACGGGATTGGCCTAGTCTGACTGAGGCCCAGCTACGCAGGCCCATTGCCGGTCGTCCACCGATTTCAGGCGGACTGCACAGTGCGTGCGTGCGTATGTACGTGCTGAGTGCATGTGCTTGCGTCGTCGTACTTCAATCGTGTGTGATTGGTTGCTTACCTTCGCAGTGCTCAGTAGCCCATGCTGCCCAATCAAAATGCCGACTTCCAAGCAGACAGCGTTGATGCTGACTGCTGGGGATATCAACATAACAATAATGATGATAAGGATAGTAAAATAGTTAATACTTTAAATATGAAAATAAGGACTTATCGTTTGCTTCGCTGCAGTCCTGCGATCCTCTTAGATTCACAGCACCCACAGTTAACAACAAATAATTCCATGGTAAACTCCAGGTGTAGGATGGAGACGTAGTGTTAAGTGACAAAGTGTAAGTGGATGAGTGCATCGTCCAACCGTCTTTTAAATACTGTTAGTGTCGGTGCAGAGACGACCGATTCTGGGAGAGCATTCCACGGGTGACAGACACGAATGGAAAAGAAATTTCTGCGGCACTCCAGACGACTGTATTGTTCTGCGAGTTTTAATGAGTGGCCCCTCAGGTTTGTATTGCTGCTGAGTTGCAGTAAAGGGCGGCACACATGATGTGGGTCTCGCAGAATCAAGTATGCCATAATCAGGTCGCCTCGTAGTCTGCGATAGCTTCCACTGAACAATCCCAGTCGTTGCAGCCTCTCCTGGTAGGAAAGATTGCGCATTCCAATTACGTTCTTAGATGCCCGGCGTTGTGGCTGCTCCAGTGCATTAAGGTCGTGTTTCAGCCATGGATGCCAGGCTTGAATTGCGTATTCGACATGGGGCGAACATACGCACTGAGCATTTGTCGAAATATGGAGCTGTTTATTTGTCCAAACGCCCGCCTCAACAGCCCGACGTGTTGGTTCCCGGTCTTCGAGGCCTTTTCGGATTGCCTGGAGCAACCCAAGTCATCTTGAACCAGGACACCCAAGTCACGTTCGAGAGTTGATTGTTGCAGTATATCCGTTCCGAGTCGGTATGAGTAGCTGCTCTGATGTCGGATGGAAAGCACCTTGCATTTACTGACGTTGAAATGCAATAAGTTTTGGGTCGACCATTGATACACCGTATCTAAATCACTCTGAAGCACATGTTGGTCGGCGTTCGCCTGGATCCTGCGCCAGATCTTGATATCGTCGGCAAACATTAGGAAGTTTGAAGCGATTCCCTGTGCAAGGTCATTAATAAACACCAAAAACAAACGTGGACCTAGAACTGAGCCTTGCGGCACACCACACTCGACTTGTATGGGGTCCGATAAAGAGCTCCGAACTCTGACCACTAATTGCCGTTGAAGTAGAAAGTTGGCGATCCAGCTTAAAAGAGGGTCTCCGATCCCGTAATGCTGCAGCTTGGATAGTAGTATCCGATGGTCTAGACGATCGAAAGCCTTGGAAAAATCCAGGTAGATCACATCAACACCTTCTCCAGCGTCAGCTGCCTCGGTCCAACTACTGCGTGCAATTAGTAAATTCGTTGTACATGACCGCTGTCGACGGAAACCGTGCTGTTCAGGAGTGATGAGGTTGCAGTTTTCCAGATAGCACACCAGTGCATCGGCAACTATGGATTCCATGACCTTGGAGAGTATAGGAAGAAGGGATACTGGGCGGTAGTTGGAGGGATCAGTTCTGCTTCCACCTTTGTGAATCGGGTTATTATTCCAAGCTTCCACATGGCGGGAACTTGGTTCTGGTCTAAGCAGCGCTGGAAAAACTGAGCTAAATGTCCTGCCAGTTGGCTTGCTGCTGCTCCCAATGCCTCTGGACGAATGGTGTCGACACCCGGCGAGCTGTGTTTGCGTAGAGAAGTCAGCTTTTGCAATACAGCCTCTGCGGTAAAATTGATGTGGGTTAGTCCTGGTGAGCAGAATACAAAGCTTGGTAGATCGCTTGGTGGCAAGACTCTTTGAAACGTGGGGGCGTATTGCATCTGCAGCGCGTTTGCTGCTTCCATAGCCGTTCTTGTTGGGCCATCAGCCGTCTTGAGTGGAGGAAATCCTTGCCTCACCTTTCGTAGGCTATTAACGTGCTTGTACAGCAGTTTGTGGTTAGCACTGAAGGTTTTTGCGATGTTCTGCTGATAGGCGGCTTTGTCTTCTCTTAACAGTTGAGTGCAGTGGTTACGTTGGGCTACGTAGTTGTCCCAAGTTTCTGGTGCTGGAGCTTCTCTGTA